ATTTACGTTTGTTTTTGTCAGGCAGAAATTTATTTATACCCCCTCAGGGTGTAAGAGGTTAATACTTCTCTAAACTATTTGTTCAGGACCTCACTGAGAACATAGCTCACTAAACAATTAGGTTATTAGATGCCAAATTAAAGCATTGATTCTACTTGGGCTCGCCCTAGGTGTGGTGAAAAAGGCCACCAGTGGAGAGTTAATGGTGAACCAATAGCAGGTTTGACCGGATGGCTGATGTAACGCCACTGAAGAAATTCAAATGTTTGTCCGTTAATCATCCGTATTTGTCATTGTAACTTCGTACATTCCAATGAAACATGAGGTGTTCGTTAACCCATCCATTGGGGAGTCGTTAAGGGTCCCAGTCTGTTGGAGTCAAACCAGAAAGATCTATTTTAGGAATAAATGTTTACTGTAATTCAAAACCATTTTCCAATTAATAAAATACCAAGAAAAGCTCAAAGTCTGAGGCGGTATCTACCCTTTGAACCTTTATTATCTTTGTGTGAGCAGGTGTGGCTTTGTGTATGACCTCTTGGATTGCACTGGGAAGTCTACACTGTGTGCAGAATTATTAGGCAAATGAGTATTTCGACCACATCATCCTTTTCAGACATGTTGTCCAAGCTGTATAGGCTTGAAAGCCAACTACAATTAAGTAAATCAGGTGGTGTGCATCTCTTTAATGAGGGGTGTGGCCTAATGACATCAACACCCTATATAAGGTGTGTTTAATTATTAGGCAACTTCCTTCCCTTTGGCAAAATGGGTCAGGAAAGGGATTTGACAGACTTTGTCAAAAATTGTCGGATGTTTGGAAATTTCCAATCAAGCGGTTCATGGCGAATAGCCAACAGGTGCAAGACAGTGTTGCCACCTCCTCAGTAAGGAAAGTAGCTATTGGCTGTGCTATAAGTCGCTAGAAGTCACTGAATGACGTCATTGCCTAATTTGCATAATCTAAAAAAAGATTTGTCGCCAGTCACTTTTTTGTCTGAAAAGTCACTAAATATAGCGACAAAGTCACTGAGTTGGCAACACTGGCGCAAGAACCATGTTGAAAAAAGATGTAAAATAATTGAGGAGGATCAAGCGTGAAGCTGCCAGGAAGCCATTAGCCACCTGTTGTT